GCTGTGAGCTGTGACACTACAGCACTCTACAGAGAGGGGGCCAAAGTGAAACTCTGTCTCTAAAAAAAAGAAAACCTATTTTTACAATTTACCACATTAACAGATTGTAGGAGAAACCCATATAGCCATTTCAATAAATGAAAAAACAAAAAGCATTGCATTACATTTAACACTTATTCATAATTTTAAAATAAAAGCAACAGAGACCTCTTAGCAAAGAAAAAAAAATAGAGGAATAGAAGAAAACATTAAACTGTAAGCAGCATTTTTTGATTTAAGAAGAGTGTAGGGGTTGGTTATGAACTCTGGGATTTGAATATCTGGGATTCAAAGCTTAGTTGTGCCAATTTTTACTTGTATGATGTTAGAGAAGTATTATAAATTAATGAGAGTTGGCTTCTATCATTATTTTTTAAGTCAGGTTTCTTGAGGAATAATTAACATTAGTAAAATTAACTATATCACTGAACAGCTCTGTGAATTCTGACAAATGCCTGCAGTTGTGTAGCTACCACCACAGTCATACAGAACATTTCCATCACTCCCCAGTCCTCCACTTCCATTCCCTAGTAACTACTGATGTATAGTTTTGCCCCTTCCACAGTGTTAAATAAATGAACTCATACATTATAGAGCCTCTTCAGTCTGGCCTCTTTTGCTTAGCATCAGGCACATGAAGTTCTCCCCTGCTGGTATGTGTTTCAGTAGTTTGTTTTGTTCTTTTCTTAACTAGAACAAGGAACAAGGTGGTTAGCCAGAGCAGATCAGGCTTTTCTGAGGCCTGAAACTTACACAATTTGGTGGTCCCTGGCTTAGAGAAAGAATGCGAAATTACTGATACAAAATTAGATATGAAAGAAGGTATTTCAAATAAGAAAAGAAATAACAAATAGTAACAATAACAAACACGGGCGCTTTGAAAATTTGTATTTTACTCATCCCCATCAATTAGGAAAAATATATCATTTCTGTAGAGTCTCAGACAATGTATCTTCTACTGTATATATCCCTACAGGAAAGAGCTTCCATTTTGAATAGACCAAAATGAGAACTTAGTTCTCTGCTTACAGTTTTATATTTTTGATGCAGGTTTCACACATTCCAGACTTGGTTTCTCACTCACTTCCCGTGTCATTCTAGGGACAGTTGCTACAGGCACATTCGTGTCATGATCTACACCCTGTAGCCCTGCCCTCTTTGTGTCAGAATGTCTGGTGGGTTAGCACAGAGTGGTAGGAGAATTCCTGACAGCATTCCAGCTTCAGAACAGCTAGCAAAAATGTAACTATAGACAGATGTGATTATAAACTACATAAATATCCCATTAAACTCAAACTAAATGTACATGCAATCTGTTTACCCTAACTGGACCCCCCAAATGCTCCCGGTATGTGTGACAGAGGAGAATTCTGAGTGGAAACAGATAATGGTCCAAACATACTATGGCTAAATATTTCCTTTGCAAATTTTTAAAGAACAATTGACTGTATGATCCCTTTGCCGGGCTCCTTCCCAGGGCCTAGCAGGGGTTTATGTAGGTGAGTACCTAGAAATTTAGGGAAAATTCTGAGAAACTGGACTTCAGATATTCTCATGAAAAGGATGAAGGTGGGAACTGAGGGAAAGAAGATGGGCAGCCTTCTATTTTCACCTGCTGTTGTTGCTATGGGTTGAAAAATGACAGTATACTTGACTCTCTTTAGGGTGAATTTAACCAGTCCCATCTGGCAGTGTCTTTTTTTAAGTAGAGTCTTCAGGAAGTTAGGGACAAGGCAGTGGTGTCTTGGTGACTCCATTTTATGGGCTGAATTGGTCGTTGGACTGAGTGGCGCAGTCCTGGTTTAACCTCAAATCTCAGCAGTTCTAGAGGAACCTGGGTATTGGAGCCAGACTGGCGAAGTCGGATCCCTAGGCTTCTCTTTCAGTATCCTGTTAATGAAAATCACAGAACTAACATCCTTACTTGAGAAAAGCAGTTTTCTCTCTGGGACCAAAAACCATCACAATCTAGGAAACAACTAATTTATTCAACCTCTAGTGACATGAGATGATCTCATTTTATATGTTAAAAGGTTTCAGATGAAATAATTTTGTGGAATAAGAAATAACTCAGAATTAGAGCATTGGATTAACAAGGTATTTTTAATATTTCTCATGGGTTTTGTTGCGTAAGAGTCACATACCATTAAAAATATGTTACAGTTGGCTTTCTGTATCCACACGTTCCACATCTGTTGTTTCAACCAACTGGGGATCAAAAATACCTTTTAAAGTACTGAGTGTGTACAGACTTTTTTCTCTTGTCATTTTTCTCTAAACAGTATAGTCTAACAACTATTTATATTGTGTTAGGTGTTATAAGTAGCCTAGAGATGATTTAAAGTATATAGGAAGATGTGAATAGGTTACATACCAACACTGTGTATTTTTGTGTCTGGGACTTGAGCATTGGTTCCAGAACTTCCCTTGCATATCAATCCCCCATGAATTTTGAGGAACAAATGTCTTTATTTTCAACTAGACTCCTTAAATACAGACTACATTCCTCATTTAGCAAATTTTAGAGAATGAAAAAATACAGATTGTAGAATTTTTTCTAAGATCATTACTTGATTTTTAAACATTTATGAGATTGATCATGACATTTATTTGTAAGTCATTCTTTTTATCTTAACGAGTTTTTGTGGGTTTTTTTAGAGACATAGTCTCACTTTATTGCCCTTGGTAGAGTGCCATGGAGTCACAGCTCACAGCAACATCCAACTCCTGGGCTTAGGCAATTCTCTTGCCTCAGCTTCCTGAGTAGCTGGGACTACAGGCGCCACCACAACGCCTGGCTATTTTTTTGTTGCAGTTTGGCCAAGGCCAGATTCAAATCCGCCACCCCTTGGTATATGGTGCCAGCGCCCTACTCACTGAGCTATAAGCGCCACCTGAGGCATTTAATGTTTTGCATAGAGAATATATATTACTTTATAATGAAAATATAAATAAAGCAATAAGTATGAGTGTGCTTTTTACTATCAGTCAACACTAGACCAAGTATTTGGGGCACATTTATACCTTTAGGGATTTTCTGATTCAGATGGGGAGAAAACCTAACATTTATGCAATACCCACACATTGTGATGCAAGGTAAAATTATGTGCTCATTTATAAGGAACAGGTAATATACAGCATAGAAAAACATGTAGAGACAAGAGGGAAAAGGAGAACTGTGTAGTCAGGCAAGGTTTTCTTGAAGGATCCCAACTGAACACAGAGAATATTCAGTGAAAGGAGACTCCATTGATAGAAGCCAATATAAGAATGTTCACAGGACTAAAGGTGGTCTTTAGATTCCTTGGGATTGTTTATATGTAAATAATCATGTCATCTACAAGTGGAGTTAGGTAGACTTACTGCTTTCTAATTTTTATGCCTTTTATTTCCTTTTCTTGTCATATTGCACTGGCTAAAAGTTCTAGTACTGTGTTGAACAAACCTGATGAGAGCTAACATCTGTGCCTTGTTCCAAATGAGGGGGAAGGCATTCTGTCCTTCACTATTAACTATAATGTTTGCTGTAAGTTTTTGTACATACTATTTATCAGTTTCAATTCTTTTTAAATTTATTGATGCTTTATGGCCTAGACTATGACCCGTCCTGGTATATGTACCATAACATTTGGAGAAAATATGCATTCTGCTGTTGTTCATTGTAGTGTTCTATAAATGTTGATAAAATCCTTTGCTTTATGGTATCATTTAATTCTTCTATATCTTCATTGACTTTAACTTGATTGTTTTGTCTGTCTTTCATTTCAATCAGTTTTTCATCACATATTTTGTAGCTCTACTGCTTGGTGCATACACATTTAGGAAGTGATGTCTTCTTGATAAGGTTATCCTTTTCTCATTATATAATGTCCCTCTTGTTTTATGATAATTTTCTTTGCTCTGAAGCCTACTTTATATGATGCTACTATAGCCATTCCTGCTTTCCTTTGACAAATATTTGCATTCCTTTGCTTTCAATTTGTTTATATGATTAATGTTTGAAGTAAGTTTACTACTTCATAAGTAGTTAAGTACTTAACTTCATACAGTTAAGTCATATTTTTTAATCCATTCTATCAATCTGTCTTTAAATTTGTATGTTTAGACCATTTACATTTTATGTATTCATTGATATGTTTGGGCTGACTCTGACATTTGGGGGGATTGTTTGTTTTGTTTTTCATACCTCTGTTTTATTTTTCCTGCCTCCCTCTAGGTTACTTGGACACTTTTTAGAATCTTTGATTTATCTTAGTGCTTTTGAGTGTATCTTTTTGTATGGTTTCATCTCTCTAAACAGCAGTTTTCTTATCTGAAAATGGAGAGTTTATTATCTATAAATTCAGTACTTATAAGATTAAATAAGATGATTTATGTGAAGCCCAATGTCAAACATGTGGTAACTATTCAGCAATGGTAGTTATGATCACTTATTATCATCATCATATGTTTTGTTTTGTTTTTTGTCATTGTAAACTCTTAATATTTTTAAAAGCAATAAAAAGTCCTTTTGTAGGGCCAGGCATGGTGACCCATGTCTATAATCCCAGAATTCTGGGAAGCTGAGGCAGGTGGATTGCCTTAGCTTAGGAGTTCGAGACCTACCTAAGCAAGAATGAGACCCCATCTCAAAAATATAACCAGGTATCAAGGGAATGATTTACTTATTCTGATAGGCATATATTATCTCAGCCCACTGTCTGGCATTTGTGAATATATCTTACAAAATAAATTATTATAAAAAATGATAGCTTGCTATTAGCCTGACTATGATTATTCCTTAATTTTGAATGAGGTAATATGTCTTCATTGTGGATAATTTCCTTAAATTCAGCTCTTTAGGGGTAGAATTACAAAGTCAAGAGATCAAACCTTCTATAAAGGTGGTACCCAGTTGCACTAGCAATGAGAGAAAGAGAGAGAGAGAGACTTTTCTGATTTTCAAACATTTTGTTTCTTAGAAACATCAAATGATGAAGGCGAAGACACAGAAGTTATGCAGCAGGAGACAGTTCCAGTTCCTGCACTGTCAAAGAAAACCAATCAGGTAATAGTCACTGTGGGAGAGTCACAGCTGTTAGATTTTGAAAACATCTTCTGCCATCGCCCTATAGCATTTCCTGTGGCTTAGTATCAGTTGTTTGTGAGATTTGAGAGAAGCTTTTACTTTCTCTGCCTTTGAAAGGACAATACTTCTTTAATCATAAACCAGCAAGGTCTGTTTTTTAGCCCTGATTTTTTTAACTATATAAATGTATATCACAATACTGATATCTTAGATTTTTATATCACATTTTCACCAAAAATCCAGCCTTATTCTTTTTGGTACAGTTCCTAAAAGGAGACAAATAGCGTAAAGATATGAAAGATTGCTTTACGCACATATGCATAATTACAATACTGTGCCATGTGGCAGCAGGCTTCTAGAACCTTATGTCTACCCAGTCTTGTGGTCTGTGATATGCACTATTAGGAGATTCACCACAAGTGGCCATTTGGATAAACTTAGCTTCCTAGTCCAGTGACCTTTTATTGTCTTTTTAATCTTCCTACTGACTTTTAAAATGCCACTCACATCTACTTGTAGCTTTTTCCAGTTATGTGTCCCTCACACCTGATTGGTAAACCTATGTGTCCTTTTAAGGATTGTCCAGCACAATGCAAAATTCTCATCTTCTTCATAAGAACCATTTGGAGTCTTATTCTTATTGTCAGTACCCTAAACTCATCCCACTAGCATGTGACTCCACCCAAAGTTTGTGACCAGGCTCAGGATCACTGTGAGAAGCAATTTAGCATAGTATTGCTTAAAAGCTATGTGAACTTGGGCAAATTCTATGCCTCTCTCCTTATTAGTGAGGTGAGGATAATAATCATAACTTCTTCACATAGTTCCAATGAGGATTAAGTGAGTTAGCACTTGTTAAGCTTTTCAAACAGTGACTGGCAAAGAGTAATCACTGAAATGTTAATTATTTTATTGAAATATATTTCGTCATCATTGGCTCGGTGCCCATAGTTCAGTGGTTAGGGTGCCAACCACATATACCAGGGCTGGCGGGTTTGAACCCAGCCTGAGCCTGCTAAACAACAATGACAGCTACAACAAATAAATAGTTGGTCTTTGTGGCAGGCACCTATAGTCCCAGGTACTTGGAAGGCTGAGGCAAGAGAATCACTTTAGCCCAAGAGTTTGAGGTTGCTGTGTGCTGTGATACCACGGCACTATAGTGGAGGCACTGTCTCTAAATAAATAAATAAACTAAAAAAAAAAAGAAATACATTTCATCTTTTTTATTTTGTTCAGTATTTTTTCCTTGAGGGAAGAAGAATGCATAAAAGTATACATACATAATATACATTTAATGTATAATTTGATCTCTTCAAAGGCCCTATACCAGTTTTACCTTTAACTGTTCTTTCAAAAACCTATAGATTAATACATCCTTAACTTTTCAGTTTATTTCCTCAAGTTGAGGTTGAGTTTTACTTTAACTTATCCCATTGACCACACCCATACACACACTTTCTTTGACTTTTGCCTCTTATCGTTACCTACCTGTAGAACTTATTTCCAAATACTCTTCTTCAGACATCATTGGCTTTCTCTCCTTTCATTTTCGTCTTGCTTGCTCCTTAATCTTTCTGGACCCATTGGTAGAGGAATAAATTTGCCCAACGCTGCATCCTCACTGCCTTTTTATTAGTGGAATCATCAGTATTGCTCCATTTCTGTTTTACAGCTTCGCTTTTCTCTTCCCACAACCATCAAATTAGGTGAATGGAAGACAGCTTTAGCGAGAAAGGGAAAAATGAGTTAAGTACATTCCTCAGTTCTGAGTGATTCACCCATCTTTCTGCCCAGATTTCAACAATAATAAAGACCTCTGATCCAGGAGTTACCACAGGCACTGCACAGGCACACCATAACTCACACAATCCCACAGCCTCCTTCTGGGACTGGCGGGAGCCTAATCACAAAGAACCTGCGGCCCAGAGAGACAAGCGCCAGCCGTCACGGCCTGCCTGCCATCTGCTGGTCTCTGAGGATGCTGCTGCTCGGGCTCCCTTCTCACCCCACCTTTCTCTTTCAACTTGGGAAAATTGGATTATCCATATTTTCAGGTGCTTTGTTGGTCACATGCCAAGACCAAAAAAAAAAAAAAGTTATTTCTGGTAGGCAAAAAAAATTACAAAAGCTTAAGATTTACTGCCTATTTTAATCACTTTTCTCTTGTTCTAATTTCTTCACAACTAAATTACTCTGAAGAGGCCAGGTCCTAGGTAGACCAAATGCCCTGACCCTCTTCTGCAACTCTAGCCTCGATTCCCTAGCTAGAGTACAGGCAGTCCCCAAATTACAAACATCCACTTTAGAAACAACTCACATTCATGAACAGAGGCTGTTATGGTAAGTCCCCAAGTTACAGACATCCAACTGACATACAACTCACACCTACAAACAGAGGCTACTACGTGTTACAGGTAATAGGTAAATGTACCTATTCCAACTTACATACAGATTCAACAAAAAACAAACCTATAAAGCCTAGCTCCTTCATAACTCAGGGACTGCCTATACTGTCCTTTTAGGGCCCTGGTCTTCCCCACCAAGCTGTACTACCTCAAGGATGGAGTTTACCTGTGCATTCATAGCCCCTGACACAGAACCTTGCCCCAAATTACCTCTAATTACTTGGAGATCAAGGAATAAACAACCATGCTGGGATCCTAGTTTTCTCATCACTGTGTTCATCTCAACCCAGCCTGTGAGCCAGCAGCTCCCTGACACTGCTGCCTACAGAATCTCCTAGAGCTTGGTTACTCAGTGTCCCACCAGCCCCATATCAGTCTTCCTACACAGCCCCCTCCAGGAGAGGTTCCCCCAACTTGACATTCACAGCTGAGGCTGCCCACATGGGCCCTGATCCCTGGGGCTCCTCTGGGAGCTCCCGGGTCCTCTCAATCTTGCTGCTCTTCCCTCTCTCTGGAACACCTCCCACCACCTCAAGAATGACTTTCCTGTCAGGCAGACTGTGCTTTTCTAGTTGTTATACACATAAAACTTGACGCTCCAAGGGGTTCAGAGCACCTTGTGGCCAGGGTTTCTTTTGTTTCCGCAACAGTACCTAGCACAGTTTGGGGCACTTACTTGGCAGGTATGACAAAATATATGTTTTCTAAATGTAATTCCATTTTTTTTGTAGATTAAAAAGCCAAAGAAATTATTTTGTGCTGCATGTAAACTTTGAATTTTTTTCATATCTGCTTAGTTATTTTGCTGTCCTTTATGTTTTCCATTATGCTTGTACAGGAACTGCCTGGCATATGCCGTCAGCTGTAATACACATTTAGGCTTGAATGTCACCAGGTGAGAGCATCTGTCAGGATAGATCGTGTTCTCTCCTTCACCATAGCTGGGCCTCACGTTTGTGTTACTGAAGCCACACCTCCCATCTATCTAGTACTTCAGACAGCAGATTTATAGCTTTATAAAATTTTTTTAATCCATATGACTACATCATCTCTAGCAACCATTTCACATCTAAGTAATCATCCTTGGCCTGCTTAATAATGTGAGTACAAAGATTTGCCAACAGTTCTTTTTCCTTCCCAGTTACTGCTTCCAAAGTAAATGATGAATTCCCTTACTCCTAGAGATTGCATCACCCTCTTCCCCCCTCAACATCAGGCAGTTCAGAGCCAGCCCTAGTGACTTTGTAATTACGCTCCCAGAATATAAATGCTTACGAAGGATTTGTGAGTTTTCGTTGATGCCTCCATGATGTCAGTAGCCTTTCAGTGGTTCCATGGCCCATCCTCTCCCCCTCAGAGACCATGTGGGACTTTTTTTCTCCTTAGCTAGTCTTTTGTTTAAGTCCTTGATTCAAAGTGGAATCTTTAGCAAGAGTGCTTGCCCTTCTCCTCCAAACTCTACTTTCTCTACTGTTGTATTTACTTACCATTTCTTAATTTGAGTATTAATTATTTAATATTTCTTCCACTCTTTATCACCAAGATTATTCTTGTAAGGTGTTAAGAGAAAACAATTTCTTCCGCTGATTCACCTCCTTCCTTCCCATGACGGTTCTCTATTCTGTTGTTAGTATTAATCTATTGTTGCATAACAAATTGCCCAAAATTGGTAGGTTGAAAACAGAACAAAAATATCATTATTTCATAGTCTCTGTTATCTCACAGGCATGGCTTAGCTCAGTGCCTCTGGCTCTACATCCCTCATCAGAGTCCAGCCAGGCTGTGGGTTAGTGTTAGAGAGCTGGACGGGGGAGAGCCCACCTTGAGGCTCCCTTGTGTGGTTGTTGGCAGGTCTCAGTTCCTCACTGTGTTAGCCTCTCTCCAGGGAAGCCTCACAACACTGCAGCTGGCTTTCCCCAGGCTGAGCGATCCAAGAGGGAATGAGCAAGAGTATCCAAGACAGAAACCACATCTTTTTGTAAGTTATTCTCAGAGTTGACATCACATCGCTTCTGCCGTACTCTATTAGAAGCAAGTCAGAAAATGTCTCAAGTCCCAGGAATAATTCTGCATGGTTCTTGGCTCTTTAGGCACTTCATTCTCACCTCTATGTCATCCATCCTTCCCCCCCCCCATGAAGAGTGGTATGTGCTTACAACTGAGCAGCTTCTTGATAGAATTCTGAGGGTCCAAAGGTCACTCTTCATGTTGTTCTCTGACCCTCTCAGCCCAATCTAGTGGCATCTCTGCATATATAAATCCTTTAAAAGCTGTGTGGGTCACCTATGATTCTTTTGGGGGTTCACTTCGTAGCAAATTGCACCCACAAATTTTTTCCTAATAAACTCTTCTCAGGCCCCTGCTGAGACAAGTTAAGGACAACACCCCTAAAAGCTTTCCCGAGGCTTATTGCTAGAGAAAAATCTGTGAGGCGTGATCCTAATTTCCTTTAAAGAGCCCTAAGTGACTGAATGGTACTCTCAGGCCCTGCCTTTGTCCTTTCTGGGGTCTTAACAAATAGCTTGGCAATCACAGCCTTCATTTCACCTTGAATAGTCCTCCTCTCAGTGT